GGCTGGGGCAGCCAGCGGCGGTCTGTGCCGCCATCCAGCGGCAGTGACAGCCGCCTGCCCTCCTGTCCCCTTCCTCTGGGACACTTCTTTGTCCCTGTCCCCTCCACCCAAGGCTCAAACTTCCCCATCCCCAAAACCACTGGCTTTTCCAGGCTCTGGGGGGGTTGGGTGGCTGAGGGTGGGGAAGGAGCGACGTGGGTAGGGAGGGGATGGTTTCGGCTGCTGCCTTGCGATCTCCCCATCTTTCCCCTCCTCCCCTCTCTTCCCACAGTTGGGTTTTGTTTGCTCTGGCATGGGAACTGGGCCACGGCAAGGAGGATGGGATCTGGGCAGGAAAAAAAAGAGTTCCTTTCCCTGATAAACGTGTGAAATCCAGCACAGGGCTCTGGGAGTTCCCTTGTCCACAGGGGCAGGGGGGGTGGGCACGTAGGCAGGAGCTGCCTCAGGGGTGGGCAGCACAAAGGGCAGGAAAAAATAAATATGAAGGAGAAAGGCAGAAGGAACCTTCCCCCTTGCTCTTCATGTGGCCAAACAGGGCTGGTAAGGAGGCTTTTAATAGGAAAGTGAGCCAAGCTCCTTTTGAATTTGGGTGCACAAACTTCCCCCCCACTTCAGATCTGTTTGCCAGAGCTGGGAGGCAGAGGGATCAGTTGGGACCCTCTGCCCAGCATGGACCGTGTCTGGGTGTCCTCAGGGTGGGGTTTTGGGTCCCACAGTCCCATGCACACAGTCAGCCTTGCTGTGGGCTGCAGCAAGGTAGAAATCCTTCAGATTGGAGCTGTGGGATGGGGCAAAGCAGAAGATAGAGCCTCTGGGGTCTGAGCCAGCTTGCTGGGCTTTCCCTGCACCCACTGCAGCTCCAGGTTGACCCCTGCTTTGTGTAGGGTTTTTGGGCACCAGCACCACGGGGTTGCAGAGGCTGTGGTGGCAAGGAGGTGGCATGGGCAGGAGTAGAAAGATCTGTGTGGACTCTTGTGCAGTTGAAGCTGAGCCCTCAGCAGCCAGGACTACCAGGGGGGGTGGACGTGACTTTTCTTGCTTTCCCTGCAGAGAGGTTTTTGCATTAACCAGCTGGCTATGACAAGCCTTCTGTTGATGCAGCTTGTGGTTTTGGCTTTCCAGGACCCAACGCCAGCTTCCCCATGCTGGAATACATGCCCTTGCTCCTGCTCTGAAGGCTGCCTTTTGGAAAGGGATGCTGGCTTCTGCCTGCACAGCATTCTTGCTCTTCATTCTGGCTGCAGCAGGGAGCCCTTCCATCTGCCTGTCCCCCCCAGCCCCTCGAGCCCCATGTGCTGCTCTGTGTGTGGTTTCAGGCTGGGGAGGCTTTGCTCAATGCAAGTCAGCACTGCAGAAACCAAGATGCTGTAGCTGGGGATGCTGCCTCCAGGAAAGGCAGGAATGAAGCAGCTCTCAGGCACAAAGCAAAACGTTTATGTCCCAAGGATCAGGCCAACAGTTGCTCAAATTCAGTACCCTTGTCCAAAATCTGCAGCTGTTGCAGGAACTGCCTCTGCCCAGGGGAAAGGCTTTTCTCTCCTCTTCCTCAGTGGCTGGGCTAAGCTGTGCTGCAGGGAAACCCTCTCCCTGCCCAGCTCCTGCTTGGGCAGTGTTTCCTGAACTCAGAAACGTGGCTGCCAGGAGCAGGCTGTCCCACAGGGACACCAAGAGGGTGCAGGGAGCAGGCTCTGCCTCACATCCCTTTGGAATTTGCTGCCTTTCAGCCCCTCCTTCCCCATCGCCCCATCCTGGTTGCCCTTCTGGAAGGGCATGCTGAGGTTGCTGGTGGATCTGTGCCCCTCCTCGGCTGCCAGGGTAAAAAGTGAGGGCCAGGAGACCCCAGAGTAGCAATAAAGTCTGGCAGCTGTGAGTGGGGCTGGCAGACAAGGCCTTGGGGGTGCAAAAAGCAGCGTGAGGGGGCTGAACATGGTGTGCAAGGGCAAGGCTGCCAAGGGGGCATTAACCAGCCTCCTGCTGTCTAGGCAGGTGAAGGACTGAGAGAGCCACATGGTGCTTCATGTCTTGTGGACATGGATGCTCAACAGGCAGCATGTGAAAGCTGAGCTTGGCCAGGGGCTGTAACTGTGCCCAGGGAGTGCTAGGAAGGTTGGTTTAAGTCCTGGATCAAACTTCATTTTCTGAAGTGGAGGTGTTGAAAGAAAAGAGAGTTTCCTCCTCATCTCTTTTCTTCTTCTGAGTTATTTATTTTTATTTTTTTTTTAAATACATCTGAGTACCTGTAGGAGCCAGATGAGCATGAGCAGTGGCACTGCTGGACACAGTAAGAGCATGTCACCATTTGACACCAGTAAAAGGAAAATTGGGTTCATCCTGGCTTAAACCAGGACAGAGCAGAAGAAAAAGAAACAGTGGGAGGTGTGTGTCCCCCTGAGCTGCTGAGCACAGCTGGGTCAGCAAGTGGGGTCAGGAGCTGCAGATCACTTGTGGGGTGGTTGGGAAGCAAGGTCATGAGGTGTCCCTGCCTTGTGGCCCAGCCTGGGCTGGTTGGGGACAGGCTGGGCTGGGATGCTGAGGAAGGGGATGCAAAGCCAGCTGGTCTAGTGTGGCATCTCTGGGAGCAGCCACAGCAGCTCAGCGTCCACCGTTGGATGGGGTTTTTGGTTTTGCTGCTCCTTGGCAGGAGCACCTTGGTGCTCTCAGTGCTCTCAGTAAAGAGGACCTGGAATGTCAGCCGGAAAGCGTCTGGACTCGAGGCACTGGGCTGGTGGGATTTGAGCACGTCTGGAGGAACCAGGTGGAGTAGGGAGGGAAAGGAAACTCTTGCTTCCAGCTCCTGCATGAGGCTTGGCCAGCTTGGCACAGCACGGCACGCTGCCTTCCCCTCGCTGAGGCAGAGCTGACCCCCCTCACCCTTCTCCCCCTTCCCTAGTTTTTCCCTCCCTTGTTCCTTACCCTCATCTCCCCACCCCCTCACCCCCCACACCCCCTCACCCCGGATCCAACCCCGCGACACGTCGGTGCACCCCGTCTCCAATCGATGATCGCAAATCCATGGTGCAGCCGAGCATCCCCACCCCGGTGATCGGGGGCATAGTGGGCGGCGTCTCGCTGGTCCTGCTGGTGCCCCTGGTGCTGTTTGTGGTCCTCCGGCGCCGGCGTCACACCTTCAAGGGTGACTACAGCACCAAGAAGCACGTCTACGGCAACGGGTACAGCAAGGCCGGCATCCCCCAGCACCACCACCCACCCATGGCGCAAAACCTCCAGTACCCCGACGACTCGGACGACGAGAAGAAGCCGGGCCCGCTGGGAGGCAGCACCTACGAGGATGAGGATGAGGATGGGGGAGGCGAGCGCAAGCTGGGGGGCCCCAGCAAGTACGAGGAGGACGCCAAGAGGCCTTACTTCACGGTCGACGAAGGGGAGGCCCATCCCCAACCTTACGACGAGAGGACACTCGGCTTCCAGTACGACCCCGAGCAGCTCGACATCGCCGAGAACATGGTCTCGCAGAACGACGGGTCTTTTAACGCCAAAAAGGAGTGGTACGTCTAGCTCGGCACCCCCTCTGCTGCACACACACACACACACACACAGACACACACAGACACAGACACACACAGACCCCCCCCTTTCCCCTGCATCCCCGCCGAGCAGAGCCCACCCTGCACGCACGATCCCCCCCCTTGCCCTGCACACCCTGACCAGCCCTGGGTGCTCAGCACAGACTTTGGACGCTTCCAGCACCAGCCTGAAGAGCTGGCTGGGGAGGGAAGGAGGGAGGAGGGCAGCTTTGCTTACAGATTTGGTTGTTGTTTTTTTTTTAATTATGACCTTTTTTTCTCCCGGGGGAGGGGGGGACAGGGAGGTGTGTGGGAGGCGGGAGGTCGGGTAATGATTTTCTCCAGTTTCGGTTCATGCTTCTTTCTTTTTTTTTGGGGTTTTGATTTCTCTTGATGACTTTTGTCCCCTTCTGTGGTGTTCGTGTTGGTCGGTGGCTTAGGTGTTAACTCTTTGCTTTAAGGACTTGTTGCCCAGCCTGTATATTACACTCTGTTTGTGTCTTCATGTTCTCAGAGTGCCCCTTTCAGCCCCCACCTGCCCCGAGGTTCCTCCTCCTACTTCAGCACCCCCAAAACACTGGAATTTTGTTTGTATGTTGTCTTGGTTGTGTTGGTTGTGTTTTTATTTTTCACCTTGGGAAGGGGGTCAAGTGAGCTGTCCGTAGAAAGACAGAGGCCAGGAAAGCTGGTGGCAATGGAAACACTGGTGCCATGATCAGGTGAACAGATTTCATGGGTTTTTTTCCTATTTCCTTTCTTTCCAGAGGGGTCTGGGGAACATTCCTCTTGCCTCCTGATGCCTGGGGAGATGCACTCCCAGGTTTTAATGACTCAATAAAAGGAGAATGAGGAGAGGAGGGAGAAAAGGCCCTGGAACAAACCCCAGGTGCTTGGGCTGATAGCAGAGCAGGGAAGCAGAGCTGCCATTTTCCTCCTACCATTTATTATTTCCTGGCTTTTCATTTTCTGCCTTTGTTTGAGTGTTCTTATAAAAAGAAAGAAAAGGAGTATTTATTGCTGGCTTTTTTTTTTTTTTTGTGGTTGTTTTGGGTTTTTTTTGTGGTTGTTGCTGTTGTTGCTGGTGCCAGGCAGGGAGCAGCTGACTCTGGTGGTGCACACCTTGCTGCCCTTCCCTGGGGAAGGGCACCCACTGATTTCCCTTCTCTTTTCCCACAAAACTCCCTGCCTCCAGCTCTGGTGTGCAGAGGGCACATCTCCCAGGCCCACTCACTCAGTGTCTTTGAGGGCTTCAGCACAGGATCAGGCCCCTACGTTTTATGATACCACTAAGACTTAATTGTCATGTGTTTACACTTCTTTTTTCTTCTTCTTCTTCTTCTTTTATTTTTGAGGGGGGATCAGAGCACAGGGGTGCTGCTCTCTTAACTCTCCTACCAACATCCTCAGCCCCCAGCCTTTAGGTCTCTTGCTCAGGCTGCACTGGTGGCCTTTTTCTCAATGTCACATCCCTCTTTTGAAGCAAAGGTTTGGTGGGCAGGGCAGGAGTGAGTGAGGCTGGGGAACTGATCCCATCCTCCTTCCCTGGAGCCACTGGGTGTGATGGAGGGGCTGGGATTGCTGCTGTCTCTGCTCTGTGGATAAATGGGATCCCAGGCTCCAGAGCCTCTCTGACACCAAATTAGATTCACTGGATTGGGGCTTATTTTTCTTTCTGTGGATTGGGGTGGGTTTGTTGTTTTTTTTTCTTTTCTTTTTCTTTTCTTTTTTTTTTTAAATTTGATGTATAAATAAATCTTTTCCTTGAAAAGAATCCCCCAGTTTTCTGAGCTGTATTATCATGCACATCTAAAAATAGCAGGACTCATTCTCCTCCTGCCTTGCCCGCTGGGTTTTGTTCCATCACATCCAGTGGTTATCCTGCCACAAAAGGGAGGGGGGTGGCAAGTCAGACCCACACAGATGAGTCAAGGTCAGATCTCTTATCCAGGCAGCCTCTGATGCTTTTTGGTGGGTGGGTTTTGGGTCCAGGCAACATGAAGCTCAGCCTGAGCCATCCACAGTTTGTGGCTTCCCCTCGGTGGTGTAGGGGAGTGGGAAATCCGATTGTTCCCCTGTAATCTTCCTGCTGCTCCTGCCAGCCCTCCCTGCTTCCTGGCTTCTGGCAGAACAGCCAAATGCCACAGGAAAGCTGCTTTATGTCCACTCGAAGCAGGGCAGACAGAGATTCCCTTGGGATCCTTGGACTGAACCTTAAAAAAACCCAGCTAAGCCTTCCTGTGTCCCTCTGCTGCCAGCAGGAGCAGCCAAGCACCCCCAATAAAAGCAGTGAAACCTCTGACATCTCTCCGTATCTCTGATTGCTTGTATGGGGCTTGATTGTTGCTGTAAGCCTGCAGAGGGAATTCTCCAGTGCCTTGGGAGAACAGGATTCACAGGGCTTTAAGTCCCCCAAGTGTGGCTTTCCCTGGGCCCTGCTGTCAGGACAGGGCAGCATTGCTGAACTGAACCTGAGCCACAGATACTGAGTGGAACGTGGGGCTTTCTGGAGCCTGCACAGTCTGTGGGGCAGGGATAATTCTCAACAAGGTCTGTCTCTCAGCTGAATCATCTTTTAGATCTGAATTTCACAAGTAGGCTCCAAAAAAGGGTTGTGACAACATCTCCTAACCCCAAACTCTGGGTGGTCCATGACCAAGAGCAGAGTGGAAATCAGTGGCACGTTCCCTCCTCTGCAGCTTTGCCCCAGCAGAGATACATGCTGCTCATTGGTGTGGTTCAGAAGAGGAATCCAATGATTATTTTTCATCCAGAACCCTGGTAACCCTGAGTAGAAGATCCTTAGACAGCAGTGAGTAGGTAGCCTGCAAGTTCAAGGTTCAGCA